ACAACAACAACAACAACCTCGAAACCTGATGCCTTACTTTTCTTCATAGAGCCCATCCTCCTGGATAATTTCAATTTCTAGCCATAAAGGTTTTTGCTGGATGCTTGAAGAAGCAGCTTACTTGTAACTGTGTGAGGCAAACCTTGCTGGATTATTTGGATTTGACTGATGAATTAAAACTGGAGCCTGGACTAAAGGAGTAATTGTGCCTTGATGCTTGGGCTAAAACCTAGACTTATTTGGGGTAATATTCTTTGCCTCCCTCACCACTCTTCAACTGGTTGTTTTGTTGTAGATAAGTGCTGTCGTGTTGCATGTGACTTATAGCAACCCTACATACTAATAGCTCTGAACCCTGCTCTGTCCTGTGCAAATTTCATCAAATCTGACACACATGCCCCATTACCCCAGTCTATGAGTCAATCTGTCTCATCCAGGGTCTTCTTCTCCTGTGCTGTCTCTCCATCCTCCCAAGCATGATGTCCCTCTCCAAGAACTGGTTTTTCCTTACAACATGCCCAAACTATGTCAGACGGAGCTTCAGAATCCTTGCCTCCAAGGAGTAGCCTCGGTTCATCCTCTCCAGGACAAACTTATTTGGTTTCCTAGCAGTCTATGATATATTCAGTACTCTTCTCCAGCACCACAGCTCAAAGACATCATTTTTCCTTCTATCATTCTTAGTCATTGTCCAGCTTTCTTCAGCACTCTGATGAGGTCCCTGATAGCATATTTTCTCAATGCAATTGATGTTTTGATTTCCTGGCTGCTGGTACTAAAAGTGTTGGTTATGGAGTTAAGCAAATCGAAACTATTAACAATCTCAATCTCTTCACTGTCTATTATGATGTTGCCAATCAACCCAGTGGTGAGAATTTTTGTTTTCTTGATGTTGAGCTTCAATTCATATTGAAGGCTGTAGGTGGTGACCTTCTGCAGCAAACGCCTCAGATCTTCCTCAGTTTTGGCAAGCAGGGCTGTGTAATCTACATGGTGCAGGTTGTTAATGAGTCTTCCTCCACTCTTGATGCCACATTCCTCCTCATAGAGCCTAGTCTCCTGGATGATCTATTCTGCATTTAGATTGCAAAGGTATGGAGATAGGATGCATCCCTGGCACACACTTTTCCAGACTTACTTCCTGACTAAACCCCATTCGCAGTACCACACCTGTGAGTCAACAACAATAAAGAACCTCTTGCTGTTGGTGTGGCTCTAGAGGCACCAAGGAGCTGGGCTACGGCTCTTTATCTGCTTTCTGCTCTGGGGCTGTGAAGTTACTCCCTCTGCCCTTTCAGAGAGATGCTCATGGCCCTTTGCCCCCATGTCCAGTTTTCTCCTCTTTAGACAACAGTTCTCAACTCAAATAAAGATCAAAGAGAAAATGAGTAACCAATTGATTTTTTTTCTCTCCTTTGTTCTCGTTTCTTCTTGTCTTTTCAGGCACAATAGTTCTTAAAAACGTGTTACTATAAGAGAAGTAAGCAGAGTAATATTATGCTTTCTCACTGCTGTTATGTCAATTTAGACTCATAGCAAACCCTCATTGGGTTTCTGAGGCTATAAATCCTAATAGAAAGATATTGCCAATATATAAAATCATGAATGTGTCTTTCTCTCTGTTTAATAATACTACTTTAAAAGGAGAGTCATCTCTTGGAGGGATAAAGGGAATGGAAAGGGAGAGAAAGGGAGTAAAAATTAATAAACAGATAAATTGGGTGGAAGGAACAACAATTCACAATAATACACAGTGCTACATTGTACTTACTTCATTCTATTAATGAACGGAAGTTTTGGTCTCATAAACCAAAATGTCTATGAATTGTTCGATGAAAAATGAATATGATTAGTAAATCTTCACTCAATTTTTTAAAAAAATAATAGAGTAATCTTTAACTTGGGAGTCTTTCTGTGATTGCATAAATTACATAAATACAAATAAATTAAATTAAATACAAGTTAATTTAATTCTTTGAATCTTTCTTTTGTCCTTAAATAATTTCTTACAGCCACATTTTCACTCCTACCTTTGCAGTTTCTCCAGAATTCTTGGCATTTACATCTGTAACGCGTGTTAATTATGTTGCTTGATTCAATGACTGCGTTAATGCTTTAAGACATTTGATACCTGTAAAGTTAAAAGACCTGAGAAAATAAAAATATACCAGGAAGTCTTAAAAAAAAGTGTAATAGTTATGCTGAACGCAGTACTGATAGCTGGTGTTTCTAACCACCTTTTTCATTTCAGGGCAGACAGCTGGACATTGGCACACCATATAACCGGAGTGAACCAGTGAGTAATTGCTTCCATTGTTAAGGGACAATGGTCAGGTTTTATAAAAATAAGAACAATTGCCAAGTAAAATCTCATTTATTTGTGTTAGCTAGAGAGAGGTTAAAGTACAATAGTGAAAACACTGAGTTACACGTTCTTTACAAGTAAAGTCAGGAGCAATATATTGAAGTGGCAAGTTGTTGTTAGGTGCTGTCAAACTGAGTATAACTCTTAACGACTTTATGAACAACAGATCTGAACCCTATCCTGTCCTGTGCCGTTTTCATCCTTTCAGACACCAGACACACTTGTGTTCATCATTGCAGTGATTGTGTCAATCCATCTGCCTGGAGATCTTCCTCTCATTCAGAAATTCAGGGAAATCATTGCTGATGTCAGATGGAACTTAGCTGAAAGCAGAGAATAACAGAAAGATATCTATTTTTGTTTTCTTGACTATGTAAAAGAATTTGACTGTATGGATCATAACAAATTATGACTAATATTGAGAAGAATAGGAATCACAGAACACTTAATTGTGTTCATGCAAAATTTAGACCTAGACCAAGAAACAACAGAGCAAGGGAACACTGTATAGTTTAAAATGAAGAAAGATGTGTGTCAGGACTGTTCTCCATACCTATTCAATGTGTATGCTGAGTAAATAATTCGAGAAACTGGCTGGACTTTATGAAGAAGAATGTGTCATCAGGATTGGAAGAAGACTCTTCAACAACTTGTGTTAATCAAATGATATGGCTTTACTTGCTGAAAGTGAAGACGACTTGAAATGCTTCCTGAAGAAGATCAAAGACTACAGCCTTCAATATGGATTACATATCAATGTCAAGAAAACAAAACAAAAATCTTCACCACTGAGCCAGTAGGAAACATTACAATAGATAGAGAAGAGATTGTAATTGTCAACAGTTTAATCTTACTTGGCTCCACAATCCTTTGGTACCAGTTAGCAAATCAAAAGGAAGGATTTCCCCAGGAAAATCAGTTATCAGGGACCTCTCCAAAGCACTAAAAAAGCAACGATGTCAGTTTAATGTCTCAGATACACCTGATCCAAACCATGGTGTTTTAAATTGCTTTCTGAGCAATTTGTAAGCAATGAATAAGGATTACAGAAGAATTGATGCCTTTGAATTGTGGTGTTGGAAAAAATACTGAAAAATCCCATGGCCTGCCAAAAGAACAAACATATGTTTTGGAGTAGATGCAAATATGAGTGTTCCTTAGAAACAGCAATAGTGAAACTTTGTCTCACATATTTTGGGCATGTTGCTATCAGGGGCTAGTGCTTGGAAAAGAACATCGTACTTGGAAAGGCAGAGGATTAGTGAAAGACTCTCAATTAGATGGGTTGTCACAGTGATTGTAACAATGGGTTTAAGTATAAAAGAGATGATGATGGCACAGGATAGGACAGGGTTCAGATCAGTTGTTGACAGGGTCACTACGAATCATAGTTGACTCAAAAGCACCTAACAACTGCCACAGCATAATGTACATTAAGATCACAAGGAAAAAGTTCTATTTCTTTAGTCATCATTGTCTCTTGTTGATTCTTGCAGTGCATTCAAGGATGTCATTTTTGGAATTCTGTTCATCAGGAAAATTGTGCATTGAAGTGTGTAAGTATTAACTCTGCCTCAATTTTGGTACAGATATTTTCTTCAAGAGAAAAATAGTTTAAGAAGATGCTTATTTTAATTTCCACTGTTGGAATACTAATTTGTTTGAATCAAAACAATTATTATTGTGGCCTGACTAATACATACTAATAGAAAAGAAACTGAGACTAACGGTATGGACGTAACTGGAGATCAAAAAGAAAAGAGGTTAATCCAAAAACACGTATACAGGAACACTCAGGTGAACTCATTGCTCCAACCTATTAAGACTGTTTAATAGGATACGAAATGTCAGTTATTTGTTAATTTTTTAGTTCATTTTTTTTCAGCTGTAAGCATATACGCAAATTACCTGAGGATTTTGTGGAAATGTGAAAATTTTATTTAGTTGAACTGATTGGAGACTGAGATTCTGCACATGTAATTAGCTCTCAGGTGAATAACGTCAGTGTTCTTTGAACTAAATAGCAACACTCTTAATTGTTGTCAAACTTGGTAAGGAACATGGTAGTAATTTAATTCAGCAGTCACAAACTTCAAGATTTATTCCACTTTAGATAGGAGACCTACAGGCACTTTTTCATTTTTAATTCATTCTAACTCTGCTACTTATTGTGTAACTTAAAACACTTTGCCTCTCAGTACTTCAGCTTCCTCATAAGTAAGTTACGTAATAATTACTTACCTAGAAGAAGAAACACCAGGATCACAATGGTGGTTTTCTCAGGGTGAGGCTTATCCATTGCACTTTAAATGTGATGATGACGATGATTTCCCCAAATACAGAAAGTTTGTATAACTTGCCTGTGTATAGGGTAGCATTTATGTTTCCCCTTGATTTTTTTTTAATACGTAATAACAGATTTTTTCCCCAGTGGTGCTCAACATATGGTAAACATTCTTACCTCAAGGATAAACCTTGAATATATGACACTAAACTGAAGCAAATTTGACACTAAAGGGAAAATATTGTATAATATCTTTATATGAAATATCTAAAATAGATAAGTACACAGAGACAAAACTTTATTTTTCATTATCTAGATTTGGCAGAGGAGAAGGGGAAACTATTTCTAAGAGTACTGAGTTTCTGTTTGGAGTGATGAAAATGTTTGCAAAAAGATTGTTATAATGGTGCACAACATGGTGAAATAATACTATTGAATGAAGCACTTAAAATATTAAGAAATGGCAATATTTCTGTCATTAACATTTTCTACAATAAAACAAAAATTATATACCTTTTTCGAGTTCAGATCAGTGGTTAAATTAGTCAGTATTGTAGTAACATTAGCTACTCTTGAAATACACCCTTGGAGGTATATGGAAAGTTTGTATAATGTGTGTGTATATCCTTGGAGGGTAGTAAGCTATATGTTGTGCTGCTAACCAAAGAGTTAGTATTTCAAATCCATCAGTCTCTCTCCAGAGGAAAGTTGGGCAGTCTCGTAATATGTAGCCTCAGAAACCAATGGAGGGTTGACATGAGTTGCAATCAACTGCAGTAGGGATTTTTGGTTTAGGTAATCTTTGGGGCACGTTTCTAAGGGAGGCTATTCCTTGGAGAGAGACATCATGCTTGGAAAAGTGGAGTGTCAGTGAAAGAGAGGAAGACCCTCAATGGGATGGATTGGCATAGTGACTTCTGCAATGGGCTCAAGTGTGTTTGAGATGAAGAGGGTTACACACGATAGGGCAGGGTTCAGATCTGTTGTTCATAGGTTGCTTTGAGTTGTACTCAACTCAATGGCCCCTAACAACAACAAAACAATAACATTTGTTTCTAGTAATGAATCAAATGATACCTCTGAGATTTAAAAATAGGTATTAGTTATTCTTACATATGGTCCTAATAGTTTTTTCAATAGCATCTGCTCAGGTCTCTATTACGGGAGGTTATTACACCTACTCTCACATTTGTGGTTGTATGCTTTGTACACTAGAAGTTACAAAAGGTGGGAGATGCATATGTTGAGTGAACTTAGTAACTGGTATGCACTCCAGATAACTTTCAGCTCTCCTCAGCAGCACTTTCCTAAGATTGCGATTTGAATTACCATTGGTTTAATATGTGAGTAATATCTTCTATCTGTTACATGCAGTTGCTCATCCACCCTCCAGCTTCTTTACCTAGTAACTCCTGCACCTGTTTGAGGATATAGCAGGAGCTTACTCAGCACTTTCTGAGTAAATAAATTGAAAAACAACAATTGTTCTCTGACAGTTACCCAGGTAATGACGTTGCCACGAGAGTGACCATTCTGGGGCAGAGAAACTTGCTGACCTTTGGCTTTCTGGAGCTATTGGTGGTTTTCATTTCAGATCTGTCTCCAAGAGCATGTAAAAATGCCTTTCATTCTTAAACTGGTCTGGGACAGGTCAACCTCCTGGCTGCCTGGGATTTTCTAGTAGCTACTGCACTCTCCATATTTCCATTGACACAGACAACATAATTTTCATGATCCCTGTCATAACGGCCATTTGCACAAAAGGCTTCAGCTCTGGGCTTTCTTTCTTTTTGATTGTGGTGCTTTGGTTTTGTTTTTTCCTCTCCTCCACTTTTCTCATTGTTTATTTTGCAACATTTGGGCTAGCAATTATTTAGAAAGAAATGTGTAACTAAGTGTATTTAAGATGATTTACAAGTTTAAAGAATCTAAGTAGCTTTATTTCCTTTTCTTTTTGTATGCAGAATGAAACCTATGTCACCATTTGTGAGGTGAGTTAACAGTTATTTAATAAACAATGTCTTCCTCTTTTGCTTTTAAAATCTGTTAGAATAAAGCATTAAACATTCTTTTTTAACATTAAACATTTTAATGAAGAAATTTGCAGCATTTAAAAAACATAGAAACATTTTTTTTCTAGGAGTGCTCTTCTTACTGGGTCTAAAAAGGATTATTTTGGCATATATGCTACATTTTAATATATACATGAAATGTGTAATGTGTGTACACATATGATTTCGTGTGTATGAAAATTTACAATTAGTAGAGCTTGGAAAGGGTGGAGATAGGATATAGTACTTTTAGGGCTAACTCTTTCTCTGCTGATTTCATTTTCTTCTCCATCAAGTGTAATGTTCTGCCATTAATTAGAGTCCTTTTAAAGTCTTTAACTGTCATTTTCGTCCTTATTCAATAAAATAACATGGCTATATTTTGAAGCGAATTTTGTCTTTTGTCCTTGTTATGATGTTGAGAGGTACTTTTCTTTAGAGTTATCCAGAGGCACAATAGGAAGAAGTCTTTGCCCTCAAGTATGCCCCATTGCATTCCTGACCTCATTTGACTCTGGCTGCTGGGTAACGGCACGGATCTCCTCCTGCTCCATCCTATATTTGATTTTCTTTAGTTCAGAAAAATCTTGGAATTAATTTTTTTCCTATTTAGATTCTTAAACTAAATTTACCTGTTCTGTATCCCAGCTCCTTAAAATCCATTTCAGGTTACTCTAGAGTAGGCATCTTTGAAGAAACTATATTATTTCTCAGTTTATAAACTATTTTGTGTCCCTTTCAAACACTCTTAAAATCAGAAAGCAGAACTGTACTGCAAGAGAACAAGGAGGAAGGAGTAAAATTCCGTGTCCATCAATAAAACAGATCGATTCTGTTTTAATAGAGAACAGAAACTCCAAAATTTATGAAGCTGTAATATTTTCTCAATAGTCTGTGGTAATTCCACATCTAGGTGGTTTGTCCTTGGGAATGGGTGGAAGTGGGAGTTGGCTAAGAAGAGATAAAACAAAAGAAAAGTTGCCTATATGTAAATACACTAGAAATGTCTCTCATGATTAAGACAGAAGTAGAAAAAAACCAACCTGGGACTCTTTTTATGTGATTGAAGCAAAATTACCCTAGAGAAAAGCCTCTAGGAGATTTTATCAATGTTGAGAACTCTAGGGAAAGTTAAAATCTCTTGAGTATTGAAATAACTCAATAATAGATTTGTAATAAAAGATATGGTTTCCTCAGGGTCCTCTGGTGACTTAATGGGTATGGAATGGTTTTGCTAAACCACAGACAGGTGCCTTGAATCCACCAGTTACTCTGTGGGAGAAAGATGAGAATCTCCTCCTGTGTGATTTATGCTTTCTAAATCTAAATGAAGGATCAGATATGAATGTTTCGGACTTAACAGCTACAGGGTGTTTTTGTTTTTGGTGGTTTTTTTGTTTGTTTGTTTCCCCATGCGGAGTTCTGGTGGCATAGTCTGCAGGGAGTTGAACTCCTAACCTATAGGTGGTAGATTTGAATTTGCCAGTAGGTCCACAGGAGAAAGAAAGACAAATTAAAAAGGGTCAAAGTCTCTTTTTGTGTGATTTACAGCCTCCAAAAACCCACTGTTGGAATCAGCTATGAGTGATATTAACTTGACCACAATCAGTTGTATTGTTGAGTTGATTTCCTTATCAATTTGTGACCACAGAAATCTTTTCTTTCACTCTTAAAATATCTGTATTTATTGTAGTCTTCTATATTTACAATGTGGTATTTTAGCAAAATTTAAATTCCATTTAGTAGAATGGAAAAGTAATGCATACATACACACTGATAATATACATTAATACACGTACACTATGCATGTGTAGTTTTGATATTTTTGAATATTTTCTGTATCCTATTGGATCTTCTTTCTTAAGAATTGGCATTGTTTTGTTTAGTCATACCAATGACTAATATCAGACTAACTACAAAATGCTGAGGTCTAAACTATCCCAAATATTCCATCTGTTGTGCCACTCCCAAAACTCTGTGTTCTTGGGTTCACCAATTCATAGGAAGGTGCCCCCAAGCTCACACTACTGTTGATTATATAGGGTTGGTGAAGGTGATTGAGCATGCAGGGCCACTCGTTCAGGTCAGATGCCTGTCCTGGGCAAGCAGAGAGAGTAAACCTACCCTAGTCCCAGAAACATTCTTTTTTTTGAGTGTTGCTGCATATACCATGTTCCCAGAAGAACTAAGGGTGGCACTTTAAGTCATTCCTCTTTAGCAG